TTTCATTCCATAATTAGTAGGATGTAAATATGTACTGATTTCTTTCTTACTTTAGGGTATTAGGTTTACTTCCTTATTTACCAATTCCTGTAAATTATATATTGTACCAATTTCCATTGAATAAATATTAAGGTATTAATCACAATCCATCTTTCTACATCGATATGCTAACTTATTAAAAGTTTGAATCACATGAATATATGCTTAAAGTATGATATGTTTGGATTTAACGTTTGTATGAGTCTATTAAGTGTTTCTATGAAATACTCAACCCTCCTAACAATTTCAGATTAATGTGAACGATGGCAGCGTGGAGGGGAGCAATGGTGCCTTGATGTGAACTCCAAAAATCATCATTTAAGTCAAGTTTTGTTCAAATAATCGTTTGAACTTCAGAATTATTTTAATTTAGTGTTTTTCAAATGTTTAAAGATTGAGTTGCGTAATGGAAATTTGTTCATGGTGGATAGGATATTTTGTTGTGGTTTATTTAGTTCAATTGATTGGCAAGACTAGTGTCTGAAATATTTTCAGTTTATGCCCCCAAGTTTAAAAGTTCACTCAGACCAAAATGCTTGCAATTTTGAGGTGATTCCAATTGGAGAAGATAGCCATATGAGTTATCTATCTCTCGGATTTGGAATCATGAATTTTTGTTTTGTAAAACTCAATTTATGGACATTTTCCCGAGGGCTGCCAGAATGTACACGAGAACAAATAGATCTGGTTTTGAAAATAATTTTGACCCATCTATCGATTGAATTTGTCTACGAAATTTTAACCTGTAATTCTCCTGTGTGCAAGATGTCTACAATTTAAATTTTGTAAATTTTGGATTTCACTTAGTTGCCGAACAAAATTTATTTCAGAAAGCTATACAAGCTGAAAATCTAAACTTTCCGAAAGAAGATTTCTTTAGTTTTGGTAACGGATTCGCTGAAGCCTTAATGCCTCTAGTCCAACTTAAATTCCACATTTTATGAACAATCTAGTTAGAATTTTACAAATTTAAGATCTTAGTAATGTCACGAGTCCCTAAAGCTCGAGGCGTTACATCAACAATCCTTGTTTTGGCACTACCTGATTTTTCTAAGGTTTTTGTGATAAAAACCGACGCATCGGGTTATGGATTAGATGCAAAAAATTGCAGCAAATGCCTACTACAGTCAATTCTTGTCTGCACGATCTCAACAGAAGTCCATTTATGAAAGGGAGCTAATGGCAATAGTGTTGGCTATACAGAAATGGAGACACTACTTATTGAGACGTCGGTTTATCGTTCGAACTGACCGACGCAGCTTAAAATACCTCTTTGAACAGCAGGTAGTACCTGTGGAATTCCAGCATTGGGTAACCAAGATCATGGGGTACGAGTTTGAGATCCAATATTGACCAGGAATGGAGAACAAGGCTGCCAATGCCTTATCCTGAATCTTTCCTCCAATTGAATTTTCAGCAATCTCTTTTCCGGTAATGGTGGATATGCAACTGATTAAGGAGCAAATAGGGGCTGATCCGGTGATTGCAAAAATCGGAGAAGAGCTGCAAATCGACCAAGACTAACAACCGCACTACTCGCGTGAACAAGGTAGACTACTGTACAAGGGACGCCTGGTGCTTCCCAATTCTTCTTCTATGATCCCAACCTTGCTAAAGGAATTCCACAGCAGTTCCATAGGTGGACATTCAGATTTTCTTCGAACTTACAAGTGGCTGGCAAGCGATTTGTATTGGCGAGGGATGAAGAAAGATATTAAGAAGTTTGTGGAAGAATGCCCAGTATGTCAACAAAATAAAACTCTTGCACTATCTCCTGCGGGTCTTCTTCAGCCCTTGCCTATCCCTCAACAGATTTGGGAAGACGTATCGATGGATTTTATTGAAGGTCTACCTAATTAGGAGGGTTTGATTCATTGCTGGTGGTGACCGTTTAAGTAAATATGCACACTTCCTGCCGCTTAAGCATCCTTTCACAGCATCAGGAGTTGCAGCCCTTTTTGTCAAAGAGGTAGTACGGCTCCATGGCATTCCCAGCTCCATCGTTTCAGACCGGGACAAAATCTTCTTGAGCCATTTTTGGACGGAACTCTTTCGCCTGCAAGGAACGTACCTCCGTCAAAGCAGGCCTATCACCCTCAGATGGACAGACAGAGGTAATTAATAGATGCCTGGAAACATTTCTCCAATGTCTCTCTTTTGACAAACCCCGAAGCTAGTCCACGTGGGTGCCTTGGGCGGAGTTCTGGTATAATACGATTTTTCTTGCATCTACAAACACTACTCCATTTCGAGCGGTTTATGGTTCCGTTACGGCAGCTAAAGCACAGTGGTACACTCGGTGGAACAACGGTTGCAGGAAAGAGAAGACGTGTTAGATGAATTAAAAGCTCATCTCATCCGTGCCCAAGAAACTATGAAGTTAGCAGCTGACCGACATAGACGTGACATCCAATTTAGTCAAGCTCCGACCATATCGCCTTCACTCCTTGGCAAACAGGCCATATGAGATACTGGGACCTAAGTATTTTGGTCCGTTTGAAGTGTATAGGTCCAGTGGCCTATCATTTGAATCTGCCTCCTTCCGCCACAATACCCCCACACCCCCCCCCCCCNGAGGACAAGGTGTCTTTGGAAACCGGGGGTATTGTTAGGCCTCCAATATGGTTCACCTATTTTAGAAGGATCAAGAAGAATAGAGAAGCAGCTGGAGAGTAACTAAATTCTGTTCAAGGGCAAGTGGGGAAACTAAATCTGTTAGGGAAATGCTATAAATAGATGTGGGAAGCAGGGGATAGGCAGGCAAATTGATAGAGAGTGAGAGGGCAGTTAGTTTGGGAGTCACGAGCCTTTCATAGGCATCCGTTATTATCTTTTTACTGTAATCTTTTCCAGCATTCAATCAAAATCTGTTTATTCACATTCTGTTCTAAATTTGTCCAGTAGGAATATATCAATATATATCACACTCTTGATTGTTTAGTTGCATTACCACATTTTCCTCAAAAATTTGTCCTTTCCACTTTTTAATTTACTTATTTGCATCCAGTGCAAACTTCAGTAACATCTGAAGTTATTCTCACTAGTTATGTCCTAGAAGTGCCACTTCTATCTCCTAATTCTTTTCGAAAATGATGGTAGCAAATAATGAAAAAACAAAGAGTCAAAAAAGTCGAACCTTCCATCCATCCTTCTGGCGCATAGAATGCTCTAACATAATAATCAAGAAATTGTGTATGAAGTCTTCTACATCTCTCGTGCGGGATGAATTTGTATTTTTACTTCCACTTTTCTGTTCAAATAAATGATAAGGTTTATAAATGCAAGTGAAATTTAATAAATTAGTTAAAGAGACATCAATCATCATATAAACACCCACGCCAATCATTACTACATGAAAGACTTACTTCCGACCAAGCATATGGCATCCTTTCACACTCAGATTGCAATAGCAAAAAAAGAATAAATAAATTTTTGAAAACTAATGTTGATAGGAATACCTCATGATTAGATATGAGAATCTCCAAAATCCACTCAGGCCATTCATCCATTTTAGTAAGACTGCTTCTATTTTCTGGATGACTGCAAGCCAAAATCAGAAGATCCTGAAATCAAACAGAAAGTATAAGAACTAAAAAAACAATAGGACTGGTAAGGAAAGATAAAGCAGAAAATAATTTATGTTCATTTTGTAAAAAATAATAACTTGAGTAACATAATTGTTCCAAGTGATAATAATTAACACATTCACAATATTATATCACCATAAAATGTACTTTGTTCCAAACATTGATGATGCCGAATTAAAATTCAAATAAACCACGAGTCAATGTTGGGATGAGAAAATGTTTAGCATGACACATCTTTCTTTGCTCTGTTTTATGAAATATTAATAAGCCAAAAGTCAACTAAATGGAGTCAAGCAAATATGACTAGCATATCAATAGCCAAGTCACACTTCCAACATCAAAAGCAGAAAAAAAGATCAGTAACACACAAAAAAGGGGAAAACCTAGAAGATGCACTGTTTAAGCCTTCTCTAAATAATCTTGGCATGGTGGTTTATCAAGCTGTACACTTCTATATCAAACCGTTATCATTAACATTAATTAGAGTGAAATTTGTCCTGTCCCCTAGCCAAACACAAATATCTATCAAAAGATAGAGAAGATAATCTGGAAACAGCCTATGACTGCTTGGTTCTGCAATCAGCTATTCAGATTTTGATTTAGCTTGCATACCACAATTAAGTACCTGTAATGCTCGACTTTGCAATGCGCTCGATGCGTATGAAAGAGAACGAAGAAGAACCAACAACAGTTGCAGATGCTCAAAGCGATGACGTGAATCATACAAGTATAGTCCTTCATCTGTTGAAGACATATTTATCTGAAAAAGAGAAGCGTCTCAGATATCTATCAACCCTTTATAAGTAGAATTAACAGAAAATTCTTTGAAATGTAGGTTATCATTCGTATCCGGGCTCTATCAGATACTCAAATTCAGCAAAATATTTTACGTTGGATGGACTCGTAAGTCGTAATTATTATCACATAGAATGTCATCCGCTAACTAGATTATTAACGGCACTGCCGTTCTATCATTTACAGATGAAAAGGTCATTTGAACAACTTGCAACAAGTAAATATGCAAAAAACCATTTTTAATCAGGTATTACTATGAAAAGTCCGGAACAACTATATTTTAAATTGATTACGGTGATATCACATGCATAACCAATACTAGAAATTGTCAACAGCGCCAAAGACCTATTGTCTCTCCATTAGTGATCATGCCATTACAGCATTACACATCACTAGTACGTGCATCTTAGAGACTCGTACCTTTGGTCACTGATTGCACCAACTAATATATAATTGGATTCATAACAGAAGTGTATCGATAACAAAGAGTAAATATTCTCTCATTCTTTCAAGTCTCAACTTAATCAATGATCAATGGCTGCAGCTACTCCTGTGCGAACAACTGCTCAAAGTTCAAAAAATAATCTCACATTACAACTCTTCAATGTTGCTTTTAATGTAAAATATACAAGTATTTTGTCTCAAACTTCACTTTGAACAATATTTATACTTCCTCCGTCCACATGACCTGTAAAACAACTTCTCGGCACTAAGTTTAATAAAAGCAGTGTTATTTTTGACACCTCACAACCAACAGTGTTGAAAGTGAGTTAGATTTGGGCATCACTTTCTCCCAATATTTATTTACACATACTAAATGGTAATTTTAGAATTTAATGAGAATGTGCTTCCACTTTTAGCAACTGACTGAAAATGTCATATAGGACGAGATAGAGGGAAAGACAATAATTCCACATAATTAATTATAAAAACTACGGGAAAAAAGAGAGGTACATGGTCTTCGCATTTATTACTGAGGGCAATAGAGATTCTTTGTTGTGCATCATAACTAGCAAATGTATGCATAACCACCTAATGGTAACATGAGAATTAGAGCAGGCGCAAAAATTCAGACCCACTTAGACCACAGCATCATGACAGTGATATTCAGAAAAGAAAAAAAAAACAATGGCGAAAACTATCACAGTGACATAAAGCATTGTCACCTCTCATAGTAATATTTGTAACAAAACATAGAGATACTTTCCAGTTTTGCCCCACGCGTAACACAGCAGGATGTCATGTCGCTATTAATATAACCATGCATCACATTATTAAACACAATAGCCTCCATCAGTATCCTATCATCTAAAGGTGCACCTCTTATATTACCTTTGAGGTCAAAAGTCAGCTAGAACATATTAAGAAGATCATATCAAGTACAACATAAAAACATTATGAATAAAGATTTAGAACAATAAAGCAGATTATGTGCCATTAGTAGCATGTTTTAGAACTGCAACAAAAGAGAAGTAGCACAAAAAACTAATCCCCCCACCTTCCACCCTTTCCCCACCAAACAGGAAAACTAAACACAAGTCTAGTCAGGAGTAGAAGATTCACAATATATATATACCCAAAAATTTGGTAATTAAAGAAATGTACACACAACTGCAACAATGGAGAACTAGGCAGGAGAAAAGACAACACGTAACATACCGAGGCAGCCAATAAAGCTGTGTATACATTGCTTGTCATAAGCCTGTTTGGTGCTGCTTCGAAAGCCTTTTGTAAACCAAAAAGAAGGAGGGAGACCTTATCATCAAACATGGTACCTCCTCCCTCAATCAAACCAAGAATGTTGTTAGTTACATCTGGGGGAACAGGCTTATCAAATTTTAGATATCCTGATATTACTAAAGCACTCAAGAGGTTAATAATGCCAACAATGATACCATCACTTTTGTCAATGTTATACACATTATTCCGTGCATTTTCAGCACTTAATGAAAAACTTATGCCACCCAAATTTTTAATAAAAGGATTTTCATGGATAGACGACATCCTTTGAATATTAGATATCGTTGAGCCATCAAAAGACTTGGATTCATAAGCCTTTTCCTGTGAAGTTAAATCATTTTTATCCATAGGTCCTGTATAATCACAACCAATATCTTCTGAGGTCCTGTCCCCAATATCTACTTCAGTTTTCTGGGATGATAAAGCTTCATCTCTCTTGGAAGATGAAAAGTTTGGCGCATCTATGTCTCCAGCGTTTGCTTCACGCTGCAAAAGAACAAGAAGTGTTTCTATGCCACCAGAGGATATAAATGCCTCGGCAAAGGTTTGAGCCCTGGATGTATTTGGTTGAACCACCAACCTATATATCAGGTGCAGCACCCTGACAACCTGGAAGTAGTTGTAGAATAAGTTCAAAGAGAGAAATCAAACATACTTAAGATTTGTATGAAAAAATCAAAGCATCGAGTTCAAATCAAGTACTTGCAGACATTGACAATATATTATTGTTACATAAAGGCTGCCAAAATTGAAGTACGTTGAAGTTCAATACTGTATCAGCATTCATTGAGTTATATTGCTGCATTTTTTTGTTTTTGGTACTAATCGCATACTTTCTAAAATATAAACTAGGAGTGCAAACCTACATAACCTAGTCATATACCATATGGCTTAAGCAAGCTCTCTCAGGCACTCCACTTAAACATGTTACTTCAAAGGCCCCAACAACTGGACCACGAGCATGTTATAAACATTTTAAACAAGGAAAAAACAAATTCATCTGCAGTAGTTTGTCAAGTTGAAAGTACCCCATAGCCAGATATGGTGGCACTACAAATTGATAAAGAAATATTTATCACAGGAACTTGCAGACAGAATGACAACACAAACCACCATGAGCAATCAACCTTCATTCTTGAATTTCTCGGAGACGCTTATTGCTGAGTATTGAAACGTAGTTAATTTTGCTAGAAAAACGGAGCCAGAGAAAACTTTTTGGAGAAAAAGTTATATAGAATCAAGTTGCATTTGCCTTAATAAAAATGGTCATTTAGAGTGAAAATAGAGTTTGATGACTCCAGTTAAACTTGTTATAAGCAAGGGTTAACATAAACTAAAGGACCACTCGAAATATGAGGAGATTTAATGAGGTGTCATATTAAATTCTTTGACAACCGTGGGCATTACATAACAAAACAAATTGCCCAAATGAACATAATGGCAATTGGCTTATATTCATGTTCATTCCACAATTAATGTACTAAGCATGAATTTCAAATCTTCTCTCATTCAATAAATGGACTGAGCAGGCAAACTATCCTGTCCATCAACAAATAGAAAAAATATATAATTTATTAGTAACAGAACAAGATATAGAAA